TGCTTCACTATTCATGATGCCCAGAGCTACCAAAGCAGCTGCCTAGGATGCTGCTGAGGACAGGGGTCCTACCTTGGTGAGCAATCCCTTTACTGTGGGTTTGCCCTCTGGCTGCAGGCAAATAGGGTTAGTAGCTTGGACTCGCAGAACATTCTGTAACACTCTGATCCATTCTTCCAGTATATTGGGGGAGTCAGCCGTCAGAAAGTATGTGTGCTTCTCTGTGGTCAGCTGCAGTGGGATAAGGAGCGGCATTAATGATGACGAAGTCCTGTCCAGTTAAGTAGCGTTACCAACAGGGGAGCACATATGGTTCACCTAGAGTCTGGTTTTGAGGAAATGTACAATCCTTTAGCCACTGTGTGAGAATAGCGACCATTGAGTTAAAATTCTTTTTACGTGGGTCTGACACTTGCTCATACTATTAAATCTAGGGTTGTGGTTTTATATCTGTAATTGTCACATGTTCCTTCTCTCTCCTCAGTGTGATAAGCTCTAGGCTGTTGAACAGACAGACTGGAGACAACGACAACGCTAAGTGCACACACAGTTAACAGTGCAGGAGGGGATTTTCATGGAGAGGAGTGAAACACCAAACATAAACAAATGAGAAGAATTCTACACCAACTCCTGTGCTACACGTGACCATTTACCAAGAACTCAGAACATTCCAGTCTCAAGTTAACTGTGTTGCCAACTTCCCCAAGTGTCAGGGCTTTACAATCAATTCTTTACAGTCATGCTCTACGGCAGAGCTCTCCCTGACTCATCAACTTAACTTCCGGGATCCTGGTCCAATGAGAGCATCAACCACGAGCCTTTCTAGCCAAATTTTTACCTCCACAGGAACGACAAAATCGTAATGATGATGATATGATAATGCTGACAACAATAATAAAATAATGGGCACCCAGCAGTGGCTGCACAGCTTTAAACCCTGAACTTGAGGGAGAAACAGGCAGATCTGAGTTTGAGGCCAGCCTGATCTATAAAGTGAGTTCCAAGACTGCCAGGGCCACTCAGAAAAAAACCTGTCTTGAAAAAACACACAAAAAAATCCCACCACCACCAACAACAAATGTTACTGAAACAACATTTCAGAAGCAAAGTGTCTGGATTTAGAGTATCTCAGAGCCTGTTTTAAATTTAGCAGATGTATATGTGGGTGAGAGAGGAATCAGTCATCTTTGATAACACTTGGTGGACAGTGCCTCTGGTCAACAATTGCTTTCCCTCTTAGAAGTTCATTGTCACTGTCCAATTCTATACTAAAATACAAGAGTTCTTGAATTCAATAGTATATAATGTTACAAACACCTCAGAAGTGCATTTACTGGATAAACTTCCCCTAATAGCCTAACATTTTGAGAGCTGGGAATGCTCAGGAGATTAAATAAGAACTCAAGAAGAAAAGGCACAAGGCAGTAGTGGGAAACACCATGCTTAATTCGAAATACAGGGTTGGCTAAAAAATAACGTATTATTACAAACTTTCACATCAAACTAATTCTAAAATGAATAAAAATGTACCAAACAATCTAATCTCAACTGAGAACTGTTTTTACAGTACCAGAAGAAAAGATAATGAATCGAAAAGATGTGTACCTGAACCGTTTGCTTGTTATCTCCCCGTAAAATATTGCAGCATGCACTAAGTTCAATGTGGCCCTGGGGTTTCCGAATTACATCGCTCTGTACAAAAGGAGGAAAAATAGAGAGATTAGTAGCTATAATTGCAACTACAGGAAATACCTTGTGTCATTGATCCATCATTAGTTTTTTAACCTGTATCTTTACTTTTTGTGTATGCATGACTTGCCTGCATGTATGGCTACACATCATGGACATGAGGTGGCTGTACCACCCAGAGGGGCTGTCAGATCCCTTAGATTGGAGTTACAGATGGTCATGAGCCCTCCACGTCAGTGCTGGGAGTGAAACCAGGATGCTCTGCAGGAGTAGCCAATGCTGACCCATCTCTCCAGGCCCCATAATTTAGTCTTTTTATTACAGGGGGGTGGGGTGGGGTGGAGGGACCAGTTCGGAGTCTGTTTTATAGTGTGAGGAATTCAGGCCCCAACAGGAGCACCGCCAGCAGGAGCACTCTGAACAGCGAGCACGGCCCACTCACCGGAGACTTGTAGTAAAGTAATTCGCCGCCTTTAAGAACAAACCATCTCCGCTTCCAAGTCTTGACTCTCCCGCTCATTTTTAGTAGGTAGCCAGATTTTTCTAAAGGTTCCTAATGAAAAGAAAACATTTGACAATGGGATTCTGCTTCCTTCTAGGAAGTCAAGCTAACAGATTCATTAATTGTTTGTCAATGTATGATCCAAAGTTTACATTTTTCCCATTGTCACTGGAAACCAAGCAGGTTTTTAGGAGTTTCTGCTCCGGCTGTGAGCACTCTGTGTCTATGGAATAGGCATCTGGAGGAATGGCGTAATCACTTTCAGAAGAGTCAGACACGCCTAGGAAAACAAAGATAAAAATCGAGTCACTGTTTCACGTCGGTGCAGCCAACAGCAGCCGTGTCTCCTTCAGACAGCAAATAACTCCTACATCATAAACCACCTTCATAAGACTTATTCCCATTCTTCCGGCTATGGAGAACTTTTAGTGCAGGAAACAGAACTAAGGGGTTGGAACTGTTACACAAATTTCCACAAAAGAACATAACATTTTGGTATGACTGGCACCATGAGTTTTCTCACATGTATCAAATATAATCCAAGTTTACCAGTTCATCTTATTAAAAGATTTAAAATATGTACATTTATATATTGATGTGGAACCTCGATAGAATCTTTTTATGAAAGTCCAGTAAACTATTAACCAGCTTACTAGCTTTAAAAACCCTTCACTAAAGATACACTGTAAGCCTCAAAGGCACAAACATGCGATTCATACATCAACAGCTCTGAAGCAAAGAGCAATGGAACCTCGTCACAATAGTTGGGTTGAGTCTCTACGAAGTTTCCTGTGAGTTACAAGTCATATACAGATGGTAAACACAAGTGGAGATTTACAAACACTAAGTGAAGTCAAGAACTTAGGCCAATATGCATCTAAAAGCAATGGTTGCTAAAGAGCACACAGGAAGACTGCTCCTGTAATATTAGCCTTTGCTAATATTTGTTCAGACAAATAACAGCTGTCTGACACAGACACCACACATGAAGACCCTCGGCTATCATCCTGGTTAATGTCCTTATTGTTTAAGCAGTGAAAGATCCAGAGATGCAGGATTTATGCAAAGTCAAGTAAGCCGAGTCCGAGGTGCTAGGACTATGACGCACAACAAGAGAAACGTCTGAGTCCTCTATGACGCACAACAAGAGAAACGTCTGAGTCCTCTTGCCACAGGGTCTCGTGAAGGAAAACAGACGCCCAACAGGAAGTAAGTGCAGCAAAAAGATGAAGTAGGGAGCAAGACTACAGCGTATGGGACAGCCAGGCCACCAAAGAATGGCAAGGACAACGATCTCAACAGCTTGCTCAGGGTGGAACCCAGCCATGTTTGAGCAGAGCCATGAGGAAGATCAGTTACACAAACATGAGGGTCAAGCATGATGGTACGCACATATAAATACGCCCAGTTCTAAGGAGGGGAACGCAGGAGGATAGGCAGCGGAGGGTCAATTTGGGCTACAGAGTAAATTCAAGATTAGTCTGGACTAAGAGAGACCCTATCTCAAAATAAAATAGGCATTAAAAAAATCTGTAAACAAGAGGGCACCGAGGGCAGCCTTGACTAAAGGAAGAGAAGGGGACAGATGAGATTAAAGACATAAAGGGAGGCCTGACCGCTGTTGTGAAGGACACTAGCAGCTGCATTCTCAGCAACAACGTGACATAATCAAGTTAGGGCAAGGAAAACAGGCGAAAGCCCAAACACTGACCCACAGTCAGCTTAGCGGCTCCAGATGAAGCCCATGGCTTTGAAGACAGCAGCAGTTCCATACAACACAGTTTGGAAATCAACACATATCCAAGGCTTTCCTAAAGTACAGGTGCCACTTACTGAGACCAGATCTCTCTGTAGCCTCTGTGCACACAATTCACTCATAGCTGGGCTGGAGACAGCTCAAAGGACAAAGTACACATAAGCATGAGGACTTGAGTTCAGATCTCCAAATCCATATAAAACCTGATACAGCAGTGGGCACCTGTGATTCCAGCACAATATGGGAGACCAAGACAAGAGGCTCCTAGAAGCATGTGGGCCAGCTGGCTCGTGTGTCAAGTCTGACCAATCATATACCTCGTCTCAAAGTGGGAGGCAACACTGAAGCTGTCCTCTGAGTTTCACACGTGTGGCAAACACATATGTACACATACAACTTTTAAATTTGTATTAAAAGCTGTACGTATGCGTGAAGTAAACTTGCAGTTGTTTTCCACATTAATATCCGATTAACCAACACAAATTGTAGGTGTGTTTTCTGACATTTAAGAATTGTAAATAAATCTTCCTACAAATTAAACAACATGCCACAAGGTAACTATAAAAAACAAACCTCCTTTTGGCCAATTATTTCTTTTTATAGTAATATAATATTCTACTTCTAATAACGACAACATCAGCAATAGATTACAATGAAAGAGTGGTTTTGTGAAATCACAGAGAACTGAATGGAAAATTACCACTAGAATATAAATGTCTCAGTCCTAGGCTAATGCCCATTGCATTACGGGTTGTGTTCTTAGAAATCCTACTGAGGTAAGTCCTGAACCAATCCTTCACAGTGTGCTGGCACTGCCTCCTGCACATGCGCATTTCCCTCACCTCGCTTCATGGCTCTGGGACTGCCCGGCCCACTGCGGCTGCGCGCATCTGACTCCGACATGCGGGAGCTGGACCTAGAACCGTCCTCTTCATCTGAGCCAGAGGAGTCATCCAGGAAAGGGCTGCTACTTATTTGTGTCGCCTTCTAAAGAAAAACAGAACAGCCCCCCGTACCCGCCTCTGAAGTAGCTGTCCTCTTTATTATCTCTTTACACATATAGTGCTGTGGGCACTGGTACATATTTTAAAAGAAAGAAAATAGCCTATTTTGATATCATGACAATCTGTCTTCAAAACTTTAGATTTTAATTAGCTAGGATTTTCTCAATTACAAAATATTCCTGAAAACATAAAACTGTCAATATCTGACGGTCCTTGTTTTAATTATGTTCTCCTGGCAAAAAAGGGGACCCTGGCAGGAACACAAAGACATTTCTAAATTAAGAGTTTCCATTGCATCATTAATAGTAAGCTAATGGCCCGCCGTGGGGATGAGGAGAACATCATAATCATTTCCTCCAGGCCTTCTGATTTCTTCTCTTTTTATGCTATAGCAATGTGACCATTTAAAGCTCTACAAAGGGGGGAATTGATGTAAAAACGTCAAGAGTGGAATCTGCAACTTGAAGAAAGCTTCCCTGACTATCCTGAAGAGAACCATATGTCTAACAGCAAGAAATGCGTTCATTACCCCCTTCAACGTTGTATACACTGGTGTCGACATATTCTTGTATATGAGAGACGTATAAGGGCCTGCTGCAGAGTAGGAAAGTATGTTTGCAGAATCTGAAACAGAAAACAACATTAAAGAAATTCCTTCCAACTAGTACACTGGTCTATTTCTTATGAATATATGCTGAAAAGAAATCAGATTAACAGGTGGTGGTTATTAATATTACTCTGCTTTACAATATGACATTTCTAGATCTATATCTACACTTTTTTGTCTCTTTATTTGTGATGGGGTCTTTCTGTGGAGCCTAGGCTAGCATCAAACTAACAGTGATCCTCCTGCCTAGGCCTCCTGATTGCTGACATTAGAGGCAACATGCCCAGCTCCAGATATTGTTTTTTACGGGTCATTATGTCCCCATATGTGCCACCTCCCCAACTGTAAGCTCTTTGACAGCAATAGTCGTGTTTCTTACGTCTTTAGCCACTCCACTAAGCTTAGCTGTGCAGGGCTAAGCATAAACGGCCACTGGCTGATTCAGTAAGTGGTCCTTTCGAAGATGTTCTCTGAGGATTTGGAGCCCTGTCTCTGACTTGGTGTTAAAACCTTATTCTTAAGCCCTGTCCGGAGATCCAAGTATTGACAGGTTAGAATATACTTTGCTGATTAAGAAGAGAAGAAAACTAAAAACAACAGTGTAACCTCTCTAGATAACCGGTTGAAAGTCAGACAGGTGGGAGGTAGAAGGAACCACCAGAAGTATTTCTTTTCTTATTATAGACACTTCTGTGTGAGTTATTTTATGATTTTGAGACAGGGTCTCATGTAATCCAGGCTAGCCTTGAACCTACTACATAGCTAAGGCTAGCCTTTAGCTCCTCTTGCCTCGACATAGCAACTGTTGGCTTTATATTTTTTATAGTGAAAATAACTGTTTCTATAATAATTTTTGAAGGAAAGGGGACAATAATATATAAACCAATATGTTTATAATTTTTGTTGCTTAAAACAGATAAAATGCCCTTGTATTTCTACTTTGCCTTGTGTGTGTGGGGGGGTGTAAAAACAGTAAAGTACATTCGACATCAGGACTGAATATATTCATGCCTTTATCCTAAATAAAATAAACATCAGTTTGAACACAAATCAGCAAATATTTCCTGAACACTTACATATTTCCATTATTCTAGCAACATTAGACATTTGGGAAGGTCTTGCCTAGTGAAAGAGCAATACACAATCATGGAGTTTAAAAAACCCTTTTATTACAATTTTTAAAAAATCATACACAGTGAAACTTACCGTCTTATGCTTTCTGAGTGTATAATTTGCTAGGGTGGAGTTTATTCACTTTGTAAAACAGACCTCTACAACTTTTCTTCTGAAATTTTATACCCACTAAAGAGCGTCTCCCTTTCCCCAGTTCCCCAGCGCCCGTGAGCACCATCGCGCACTGTTTCTGTAGTCGATTGCTTTGATGAATTCCTTAGCAGAATCATGTGTTCCTGCCTCTCTGTGGCTGCATCCCATTCTCTCTGAAGCGCACCCGTCCTCAAGGCTCACCCGCATCACAACATGCAAAGGAAGCACTTACTTTGATTAGCATTCTCCATATTGAAGACCTCAGACACTCGGATGCCTGATTTGGCTACAGCATATATCCTGCTCTCCTAATATAAAAGAGAGATTGCACCAGGTGCTTACAGCCACGAAATGATTACAGTGAACACAACATTCTTCCTTTGTTCTTCAGATAACATCCACTAGAGTATAAAATTCTAGTTAGCACAAAACTCAGTGCCGATGGAACACACCACTGTGAATAGCTCATTCAGTAGTTAGTCTATTATTTGTTCTCAAACTTTGGCCTGTTATATTGACTTTAGGCGATTTAAGAACAAGCATAAGAGAGCTTAGAGGCAAGCACTGGTTTTAGGTAAGCCCCTTCTTTAACATTGTAACATTCTACATGTGGTTAAAGCGGGGGAAACCCTGGATAGCTGTAGCATGAAGGCAACTGCTTACAGTCACTATTACACACAGATATCATCTTTAATATCTGTTATCATGGCTAGGATAAAAAAGGAAAAAATTGTACATTCAGAATCACAGCAGAGCATTAAATGTCACTGCCTTCTTATTTTAATGTACATTTCAGTAAAATGAAAGACTTTGGGTCAAACAATAAATGGAGTCAAGAATTACGCTTGAATGATTATTTTTTTCCTCTTCTCCAAGAAAGATCTCTGAAATGGGTACTCAAGGTTAGCGTCACTAGCTAACAAGAAGGATCCCAGGGGTTGCTAGTGCATAAATCACAGTACCATGCCTCTTATGAAAGGTCTAAACTTGAACACAGTTGCCTGGACCAGAACACGGAAGACAGAGGATGTCACGCTCTTCTTCTGGGCTGGCCTGGTAATGGGCATGCGTTCACTGATGACGCTGATGATGGGACCTGTTCCATGGCCTAACAGAATGGGTGTGCTTTCTCGGAAAGGACTTACACAGGGAGATGAACTGTAGAGGCAATGCTAAGGTAGTATAAGCAGGAGCTTCGAGGCCGCTGGAGTCCGTGTGAGCACGAGACAGAGCCGGAAGCAGGAAGGAAACGGGGGTGAGGGGGGAGAGCGAGAGAGAGAGAGAGACACCATAGGTGAGAGGACAAGGCAGGTCACTTAGAAAGCAGGCCATCAGAGGTAGTGCTGGGCCAGAGCTTGTCCCACCTGAGTGACTATTACATTCTGCAGGACACTCTAATTCAACCAGGGTAGACTTGCTTTAAATTAGCATCTTACTGACTATGGTAGCTAGATCATCTCCCGAAAACCTGAAAATATCAACCTTTGAACCTTTGCCCGGGGTCAGTACATTAGAAGTCTGAGAAGCATTCTACTTTTTCAAGGACCAAATAGCTCAAAAAGAGGAAAAGAAGGAAAAAGTAAAACTCCCAAATGAAATGAACTTGAAAGCTTAACATCATCAATCTCTTCAACGTAACAACAACAACAACAACAACGACCACCCAAGTCTCAGCGTCTCACTGTCCTAGGGTAACACACGTAGAATCACAGAAACCCACATGCCTTTTGCTTGTACATTTTTGTGCAGTTCAGAATTTAGCAATGAACGAGAGGCAGTTTCATGCGGATACTGAAAAGAAAAAGTATGTTCTCTTGAAAGTAAGTAAAAAGCAGATATATCTTTAAGTCTGAATTTATATTAGGGAAGTCATGGCTATTTTAATTTGTTTACAGTTATAGCCGCTACTAAGTAAAATAACCATAATTAAAAAGAAACATGACTCCAAAACCCAAAATACCTGGCAACCCAGATATTTCTTTTGAAGTCAAAGGTTAAATTGTCCCAGTATGGGAAGGAAAACATAAGTCTACAAAACAGACCAATTCACTTCATTTTAAAGGTAAGCTATTTGGGCTGGTGAGACACTCAGTGACAAAGGGTGCTGGTAGGTTAGGGTGACAAAGTAAGTTTGAGCCTAGGAACCTGCATGGTGGAAGAGAGTGACAGCTCCTGCAGGCTGTGCTCTGACCTCCATGTGGACACTACAGCATGCTTGCCTCTCCCACTAATACATACGTTTGAGAGCTTAAAGAGCAACTTTTTTAAAAAAATCAAGCAATATAGATAATTCTAAGAAATATCAAATCACTGACAGGTTGGTTTTGTAGTCACAATGTTTCCAAAGAGAAACCGTCTCTTCTAGGTTAGTAGGAAGCTAATTTAGCTGAAGTAATGGATTCGTAAGTTTACGATGAGTAAAACAAAACCTTGGTCAATCAAGTGGGAAGCAAAGCTCACAGCCTTGAGCCATAGGACCTAAGTGCTGCTTCAAAGCACTCCTGGGAAGCAGTTAGAGGAAACCCTTCTCGTGTCCTGTGTCAGGGCCTCCAGGCTCTGGACACTCCTACTCTCCACATCCATCCTCTCCACACCCTCTCACTCTCTTCTTCCTTAAGTCTGCACAGTCCAGCACGGTCCTCTCCCCCATCTCTACAGGAGCAGCTCCCACAGGAGACAAGCGTCTTCATATTGGATGAGTTAGAGGGGCCCTGGCCTCACCTCCCTCAGGAGGAAGCCAGAATTATTTAGCTCCAGCTTGGACCTGAGTGAACAAATCTAATTCCAAATTCTAATACTGAGAAGCTCATCTGCCCCCCCCCCCATGCTCTCATCCATGACTAAAGTCATATTTTGAATTTCCCACCTGTCTTGTTTCTCAATTGTTCAGAACATGGTTGGGGAAGAGAAGGGGAAATTGGATTCTGAAAACAGAATTGTCAGGACAATGCTGATAAGATTTTAAAAGAAGCAGGGGTAGGATTGGTAGTGTGAAGCAGCCCGAGTGCATGCTGAGAAAAGGCCCCTGAGCGTGTACTGCACCCGGATGTAATTACCCAAGAGGGGAAGCGGTGCAGAGGAGGAGTGGGGGGCTTGCGGCACGAGGCCTTCTTTGCGGCCTCGCAGTTTTCCTGGTCATCTGTATGTGGAGGATCCTGGGAGTCATAGGAAAATAAGCCGTCATCACAACCAGTGTCCATGCTGTTCACGGCTTCCGCACAGTCGCCATCAACCACATCAAGGTCCGTCTCCTGAGGCCTCAGCGGCCGGATCATGCTTATAGCATTCCGGTTCACGCCAAACATCCGGTCCGAACACAACTGTGGCTGGCTCAGGTGCCTTTTGGTGAGTGCCACACTTATACTGAAAACATTGGGGATCCTTAGCTTTGGGGATGGCTGGCATGGTGGAGGCGCTAATGGTGTTCCTTTTCCGGGGAGTGAGCTAGGGTGTTTGGGGGTTAAAGCTGGGGTTAAAATAGGGCTTGGGGTGTTGGCCTCGCTTGATGAGGATGAATAATCCAGTCTCTGGGACTGAAATTTCTTATTCAGTTCATCTGAGGAACTATCGTGCTCCTTTACTCCTGACTGAGAACTCCCCTTTGCAAGGTTACTCTGAGCTTTCCATGGTGCCTTCTGCTGCCAAGAATATAGCTTCTTGTGCTCAGGTCTGTTACCATCAAAAGTCTCTTCTTCGAATATAGAACTACTGTCATCAGAAGCTGTGAGATAGGCTTCACTGCCCATCCTGCCGCACTGGCCACCCTCCTCAGACGTGTGGCTGGAAAGGGTGGACGTGCACCTGGACTTAGATCTGCCCTTGCTTCCATCGTCCTCGTCTGAACTCCAGTCACTCACTGGAACCCCAGAATTCTGGGACGTACCACCATCTGTAGCAAAGCTTGCTCTTGTCTTCCGGGTCTGTTCTGAGCTGCAAGAAGTCTCGTTCAATGTGCTCTGGCTTCTGCTCTTCTCTTGGACTTGGCTGTCAGTGGGCTTCTCTGCAATTTCCATCTCTAGAGGAAGACACAGCACATTGGCAGATTGCCTTTTAAAACAACATAACTACTCTGCATGTGTGCATTGCTGCTGCCTAACGGAACTACACTGTAGAGACTGGCAATGTCATGTGAATAAAGTCAGCTTATTCTATTCTTTGTTAGTTTTATGCCTTCTAAAGTACAGTTAAAAACTGCAGGGTTTATAAAAACATATAATTCTTAAACTTCAATTTAACTATCAAAAGTAAATTGCTTCTTACAAATAAGTATGTGGGGGAACGAAAGTTGGCAACAATCTAAAGACAGAAGGAGCAGAGTGTGAAGAAAATGAATTTGACCATCAAAGAAAGAAGCTGCCAACAAAGTGAACACCGTTACTTCCATTTTACAAAGAAAATGACAACTCTTTTCCGACTAACCTTTAAAGTCATCATAAGGTAAGCCTAAACATAAACACAAAACCATAATTTTAGAAATCATGTGTTCGCACTGCAATACATGAAATGTGTAAAAACCACAGAAAAAGCTTTCCTCTACTCTCTGTTTAACTATAACTCCATGAGTTTTAATAAGAACAACCTCTTTAAATGTCTTTAGATATGGATTCCATTCATTAGCACCATGAAAAATGGAAAGCACCAACAGCTTTATAAATAATGACTTAAAACTCCAAATTGAATAGAAAAGGAACTCTGAAAACATAAATAGGAACCTCCCAACTAAGGAACAAGAGGCTGAACAAACCAGCTCAGGTTCTGCAGCAGAGACTGGTTACATTTTGAAGGTTTCTGCAGCAGGGATTGGTTACATTTTCAAGGTTTCTGCAGCAGGGCTTGGTTACATCTTCAAGTGCTGAGCTTTCCACACAGGCAAATTCAGTGGTGCTGAGCTGACCACTGAAAAGGTTTCTTGGAAAAGTAACAAAATATGAATAACAGCAAGAAATAGGTCACAAGGAAGCCTTCCACTGAAAAAGCATTGTGTAATTTTCAGAATGTCAAAACCCAGCTGAGAGGCAGCTTTTACTACGGTCATTTTTCTCAGGCCTTGGAGGGAAACTAAAACGGGAAGTAGGTAAGTTGCAAACTCAAGCTTCCCTAGAACTTATGGAAAAAGTCAACAAACAAGGTTGCCCTTGAGGTGTTGCCACCAGGCTGCACCAGCATGCAAAACTCAGAGGGAGACTCTGAAAATGAAGGGCACGGGAGCAGGGCTAGATTTATGGAGTATTAGTATTTTCTTCTCTGAAGTAACAAAGAATCAAAGTAGTTATCAAAGTGTCCCACACTGTACGTACCTTCTACACATCTTCCTTCGGTGACCTCAGGTTCACTTGGGGCCATCTTGGTCACTTCTTCAGATCTTACTACACAAGGAGGACTCTTTGCTCGGGACAAGAAGCATCCAAATGACAAATTGCTCAGGCGCTGACCTTCTGAGGACTTTGATGTGGAGACACAGGATAACTTCTTCTCTTGGAGTTCTGTAACGTCATTAAACAAAATGGAGTTGAATTTTTTATAGCGGTTTATTGGAACCGCTGAATGAAAACATATAAGGACTTGAATAAACCACTCTTAATACCAGAAAAAAAAAACAAAAAACACTGAATTTCTTCTTATATTTATATGTAAGTATACATTATACATAAGTAAATGAAAACCCTGACATAGAGTATAGAACCCTAAATCTGGAGTGTGTTTTGGGGGAAGGGGTGGTTGGGAGAGGATCAGTGGGTAAAGGTGCCTGCTGTCAATCCTAGTGGCCTGAGTTCAGGCCTCAGACTACTAACTATGGGTTTAGCCCATCTTTAGGATAACTGACATTGTTGTTTGTAAGGTCAAAAGAATGGAGGTCCTAGGAAGGAAAGTTCCTGTGGAAATGAACTTCAGAGCACTAGGAAAGAAACAGAAGTGAGGTGGGTTACACTAAATAGCAACTGGTAACAAAGACCAATATTTCTTCAGAGGTATCTTTAAATATTTTATGTTGATCATCTGTCACATGATTATGTACTCAACTCTGCGGATTCTGCATCTGTGGATTTAATTAATGGTGAATCAAAAGTATTTAGGAAAAAAAAACTGTCTCTACTGAATATATACAGATATTTTACTATGAGTCTGTAAAAAACTACAGTCTAACAAATGTTTATACTATTTTTACCTTTCACTTGGCATTATAATAGCCTGAAGCTGATTACAGGAGAATGTGTGCGGACCATTAGATGCAACCCCTGGGCCATTTTAAGCATCCTCAGGCTTTGGTATTCGTGGGGATCCTAGACTCAATTCTCTGTGGATACTGACAGACAACTGCATGTGTATGTATGTATGTCTGAATGTGTGTGTATATGTACGTGTGGAATATATACATATATTTTGCATTATGTGTACAATATATAATATACATATAGTTTATATTATATTCATATATATACTGTAAGCACACTAAATCTACCATATATCTGGTAGCTCTGCTCCAATCTAATCCCAGTTTCCAAGGATCAGAACCACTCGGTATCTAAAACCCAAGAAAATGTTAATGAAAACTAGAATTGCAAGCCAGAGATAGCAGGGAAATAGACAATCTTTTGGAAATAGAATTGGTGCATCCAACCTTCTTCAGTGAGTGAGTGAGTGTCATGAAAACAGGAAGCCTTAAATCTACATATGGTTCTTCAGTCATGGCAGGTGTCTGTCTTTTATCATTCAGATGGAGGAGATGAAAGCAAGTATTAGCAGGTGGTGTAGTGGCTGACACCTGTAATCTCAGCACTCAAGAGGCCAAGGAGGAAGATGTAAACCTGGGCTACACAGTGAGTTCTGGAACAGCCTGCTCTACACAGTGAGAGAGATCCTGTCAATCGACAACTTTAAATATTCCTTTGGGAAACCAGTGCTGCTATCACAATCACATTATTAATATCAAGATATTAAATATTCTAGAGTTATAACACAGTTATTATTAAGTAGCAAGGCATTGACACTGTCTTTAAATTTGATTTTCTTTCACCTAGGTGTGGTGGCACATGCCTTCAATCCTGTGTCTACTCAATAGAATTTACTTTAGTTTTGGTAGGTTTATCATTCGAGAGGTAGTCTACCATGTCCTTCAGACACAACTAAACATTACTGAACAATCAAAAAATGGTAACCACTGATTTGAATACTTAGCTTCCGACTTTTTGTTTTAGAAACAAAAATCAGTTGGGAGGAAGAGGCAGGCAGATCTCTGTGAGTTCGAGGCCAGCCTGGTCTACAGAGATAGTTCCAGGACAGCCAGGTCTACACAGAGAAAGCCTCTAAAAAGCCAAAAATCGTGTTCTTTCAGCCACACTAGTTTGTTCTTCATGTATCGTGTGGGGTCCATGGTTGAGAGGATACAAAGGAGGCTGAGTCTGCAGAGCTGAGGACCCATCACACAGCACTGCCTTGACCTAGTCCAATGGGTGCAGCTGAGTGAGCACAAGACACACACACCTATGAAGTCACTTCTTCATCCAAGCGTGCAACTGAGTGGTTACCATCAGGACGGTGTCTACAGAACTCTCTGTCATGACAGCTACACAAGCCTTTGAGGTTAGAAGGAAGGCAAACTCCACAATGGAAAAATACAAAGGACAATATACAGGCTGTAAGTTTCTATGATCGTCAAGAAACATGAGACAGGAACTGGTGAGCTGGCTAAGTGGGTAAAGTGGTGCTGAGTCTGCGGCTCCGAGTGGGGATCCCCGTGTCCACAGAAGAAGCCACATGCAGCGGCACAAGCCTGGGCCTGCACAGGATGGACACAGGTAGCGGCACAAGCCTTTAGCCTGCACAGGACGGACACAGGTAGATCCAGGCTCTTAGCCAGCCAGGCTAAGCTCATTAGTGAGCTCCCAGGTTGGTGGGAAACCCTGTCTCAAAAATAAGGTAGATAAAAGGTGATAGAAGCAAAGACAGGAAGTTGTCTCTGCACTCCACACACACACACATGTTAGTGCTCTGGCACACATACAAAATGGATGGATAGAGAAAAGGTAGTTTGAAGCAAATTTCAAAAAGTTGAAAATAACAACTGATTTTCATTTCTAAAGCAAAAAATCTGAAAGTAAATATTCAAATCAGTGTTGCCATTTTTCGGTTGTTCAATAATGTTTAGTTGTGTCTGTAGGACATGGTGACTAAGTCTAGACTACCTCTCAAATGACAAACCTACCAAAACTAAAGTCAATTCTATTGAGTAGACAGTTTAAATTCAGTCCACTAGTGTCAATGGTCATAGGTGGCTGACATCACTTCCTTGAATGCAGGAAGAAGCCAGGGTCTATAAAGAACTCTGAGGAAACATCTTTTCATGTTTGTGGTGCTAGGGCTGAGACTAGGCCTTTTACACATGCTGTGCCAGCACAAGCACTGAACTAAAACCCCAGTTTATTTTTATAAACCCTCTGAATGCTTTTAAAAATAGGTCAGACCTACTGCAGACTCCCACCTGCAAAATTCACATCCTTTTCTGGGAGACTTGGTCCCAGAAGGTTTGAGCACTGACAGTGTGTGGGTGAACTGAGTTTTGTGGCATTTGCAACAACCAGAGGGGGCATTTGGAAACCCACAGCACCATCCCACAGCTGCCTTCAAGGAACCCCAAATTCGGGGGCATGCTCAGAATGCATAAACCTGAGGAAACTTGAAAGCTCTCGACACAGGTACAGCTAACTATCTACATTTCTGATTTGTTAACCCCCATTAAAGGGATCTATTTTTTTCTAAGTTTAAGTCTCAGAATGCTGAAGAACAAACCTCTGGCACAAATACCTCTATCATTTTGCTTCATACTACTCTCTCTGTTCTATCAAGACAACAGAGATGTAGCACTGCCTTGCTTAGAAGAACCAGCATGGTGTTACCATTGGAGACTAGACCAGCTACCTATGATCCCTGAACTTCAAGGCTGACATTAACATGTAGTAGTTTTAGCAGATTGGATTCTCTAGATTTTTTTAAAGATTTATTTATTTATTTATTTATTTATTTATTTATTTATTTCATGTATGTGAGTACACTGTTGCCGTCTTCAGACATACCAGAAGACATCAGATCCCCATTATAAATGGTTGTGAGCTACCATGTGGTTGCTGGGAACTAAACTCAGGACCTCTAGAAGAACAGTCTGTGTTCTTAACCGCTGAGCCATCTCTCCAGCCCAATTCTCTAGATTTTAAATGGACTTTAAATGCCTTTAGGAAAGAGAGGCAAAATTATCATGCAGTCATCTTTCTCTGACCTCTGTAATAGCCACTTTGATAAATTAATATGTCACCACTTGTCTCTTCTTGCCTATGGCTCCTCAGTCCAACTTCTGGTTGGATGGAGAAATTCTTTTTTATTTACTGACAACAGCATCTGACATAATTCATAATCAGATCCTTAAAACACTAATAGTAAACTCCTATACCGCCAAACACGTCTGCTATCCTGTCTTAGTGAAGCTATTCATACCTTGCAGTTTTGTCTGGATTGCCCTTATCTCTTCAGTCTGGTTTTGGTTGATGAAACGAAGATTCTGATTCTCTACTTCTAGCTAAATAAAAGAGTAGAATGATATTCTTTAATACAAAATAACACATTTTAAATTTATTAATAAATTATAAAACTTAGAAAATAACAATATATAATGACTCTCTGTGCAAGCTGGTGAGCTCATTAGCATTGGCTCTCAGACTTAACAATCACGTCTTCAATAGTTATTTGTCCAGAGCTAAAAGTTTTCATCCCTACACATTTCCCACTGTAAAATAATTTTAAAAAAATAAAACAACTAAATTGGCATTTAGTCTATGCTTCTTAGATACCAAACCCACTACCTTTATGACATATATTTGTAATTATTTAAAATTAACCCGTTACAATATGCCTGTTTACAATCATCATCATGAGTATATCAGTATTTTTTAAATTTAAAAATGTAATGGATAAGCCGGGCGGTGGTGGCGCACGCCTTTAATCCCAGCACTTGGGAGGCAGAGGCAGGTGGATTTCTGAGTTCGAGAGTTCGAGGCTAGCCTGATTTACAGAGTGAGTTCCAGGACAGCCAGGGCTACACAGAGAAACCCTGTCTCAAAAAACCAAAAAAAAAAAAAAATTAAAAAAAATGTAATGGATATTAAAATGAAAGCAGTTTATCACAAGTTTATCAAAACACAGGACAATAACCAACTGGTCAAGGCTTATTGTCTCACTCAGGGTTGTATATTCTAAAGACTTTAATTTAAAAAAGTAAATAATAAAGGAAAAATTTAGCAGTAAATACCTCATTTAACTTAACTGTTACCCATTCTTTGATCTTAGCTGCTTTTTCTTCTATTATTTTAGCTTCTTGTATTCGCACTTGTTTCTGAAATAACATCAACAACTGTTTTAGTTTCGACATAAGCTCCTTGTCTTGGAGACATTACATCATAAAATCTGAAAGTCAAACTCACTTAAAACCTGTTTCCAGGTTAATACATTTATCTCCAAGTAACCAAACAGATTTTTAAAAGCCCAAATTTCCAGGCATAGTGGTCCATGCCTGTAACCCTAGTCACTGGAGTCTGAGGCAGGAGGATCATGGGGTGTGGGCCAGCATGAACAGTAGATCTTGTTAGAAGAGAAAGATGGGAGAGGGAAGGAGAGAGAAAAAAACCTGTTCAGCAGAGTAAGAAAGCAAAAGGCAGGTGCAGATGTGAGGTAACCTGGCGGACCACTTAGGATGTAAGAGCTCCAAGGAAACACACCTCTGGGCGTGTCCAAGGGATTTTCTAGACTGTGCTAACTGATGTGGGCAGACCTGACTTAAATGCAGATGACGTCCTCCCATAGGCTGGGTTCTTGGACCACCACTCATCTCTCTCTGTTTCCTGACTGTGGACACACGGTGAGCAGCTGCCTTGCTCCTACTGCAAGTCTTCCCTGTGGGGGTGGGCTGTACGCTCAAACTCTGAGTAAAATAAAACCTTCCTTCCTCATGTTGCTTCTTCTATCAGGTATTTTGTTGAAGCAACACAAAGTATCTATCTAGTACCACACCCCTTGCTGGTTGAAGCAGCAGCCCCATCCATACTCATACAATGCAGCGAATCCTCTAATATATCAACAAAACAAGCTGTTTCTGGACCAGTAGAATTGGATCTACCAAATCAGGTGGAGAACACGAATCTGCTTAGGAGCAGAGTTATTTTCTCCTTCAAATAGTAGATTAAAACAAAAAACCAGAAAAACACAGAGAAACTCTAGTTTGTCACATTTAACAACCTTAAAACTTGGCTCTGGTCACAAAACTCCAGAGAATGTGAACAGCATATAAATCACACTGGGTGGGGATTGAGCTGCTAGGACTCTGAAAGCCACTGTCCTAAAGTACTGAGTCCACAGAGAAGGCTAAAACAAACGAAAATGTTAGTGTTAATTCAGTAGCCCAGACTAGCCTCAAACTCACAGCAATCCTCCTGCATTAGCCTCTCAAGTGGTGGGATGACAGGGATGAGTGATTACACCCAGCTCTTGGTGAATTTTTGTCATAAAACTGAATGTACTCGACTTGTTCACAGGGAGCAGCTGAAAACTGTGTACTTCTCAGCAGGAGGACTAGCTGACATGCAAATATGTACAATGTAAATATTTTGTCTTTAGATAGTCTCATTATTTTGTCCAGACTGACCTCACGCTAATGATCCTCCAGTGTCAGCCTCTAGGATTCTGGGATTGCAGGCATGGACCACCATACCCACTTTGGCTGCAAATATATTATGCATGCTATAAATTATTTCCAAATGAAAAACATTATGTTTAAACTCTAAAGTCTGAACGTTAAAGAACATTGACACATCTAAAAAAAAAAACATACTAGATCTGGGGCCAGAGATGTGCCACCATGACTGATGTCGTAGGCTCCATCACCGGGACCATGTGGTGGAAGGAGAGAACCGACTCCAGCAAGTGCCCTTTGACCTCTACACATAGAACACACACACACATATATGAACACTCACACATGCACATTCATGCACACATAATGGACATACATTTGAATACTCACACATGCACACATACATGCAAAAACATGCTCATATACACATGCACGAGCTCACACATAATAAAAGTACTAGTTCTTGCCTGAGGCCTTGAATCACCCAAGACAATAATGGAACAACCTCTTACCAACACATGTGACATAATCCTATGAATAAGATTCTCCATAGTACCATATCTTGTTTTAACCGCGTATCAATGAACACACATTAATACAATTGACATTCAGTCTTCCTAACCTGCTCTTCAAGCCGCAGTGCCAAGTTCTGAATGATGTCATCCTTCTCCTGCATCACGGACTCCAGGTCTTGACACTTCTTATATAGTCGTGTCTCTGACTCACTGGTCTGAATATTAGCTGCTTTTAGTTTCTCTTCCATAACTTGTACCTGAATTCAGAGGGTAAATTATGCCATTGTGCCAGACTTCATTTGCCAGAGTTTTAAGCTTACAACTACACTTTAACATTAGGTTCTTAAACAGTATCACAAACTGAAAATATTAAACAGTAAGGTATAACATATTGTGGCGATTACAAAATCTGAAGACTATTTGACAAGTGTCGTGACCTTCAGGGTGGGTACAAGAAGTCATGAGCCTGCTACGGACACACAGGGTAAACACATGTCTGCTAGAGCAACAATAGTATGCAAAGGGTCCATATGGAAGCAAATGCTTTTAGTCCTGTTTCCCTTATGTAGGCAAGAAAAGAATACAAAGAAAGAGTAGTATGTAAGATAAGTTTCCAATTAGATGGCTAGATATTAACACATTTGGGGGAGAAAACTGAACTTAGGTTAAAAAAAAGAAGAAAAAAAAACAGTAGAAAAAAAGAAAACCAAAGAAACTTAAAGCCCAAATAGCAAAACCATTAAAAAGAAAACAAACAAACAAAAAAAGTCCAAACCAGATACAAGCATTGGAAGGAATTTAATGGGTTTTCCTTAGTTTATTTGCTAATATTTTCCAGTTCCAGGCCAGGAAAGCATCAGTGCATAAAACAGACACTCAAATCCCTTCCTACATACAAGTTACAGTCTAGTGAAAATAAGAGACAGTAAGTATAAGACACCATATGACCCAACAGTACATATATGGTTAGTAACTATAACATGTGTGAGCCAGGTGGGTGAGCGATGCTTTTTTAATGTCTAAGACAGACAGACTCTGCTTGCATCTTCTGCAAAGAACACTGAGACATAAGGAATCTTCGAAGGACACATGTGCAGCATCTGCTCACCCCAACACACTGTGACTCTACCCAACTCAGTGAAGTCGACTTCTGCAGATCACAAGCCCAATCCCTAGATGATCAAGAGCCTAAGGTATTGGAATCTTCGCCCGAGACTTCATGGGAAGGTCTCAATAAGAGAGAAATTTATGCAATATTCCATAAATATATATCATAATATTCTAAATAGGTAAGAAGTAATTTTATGAGAAGCTCAACGATTATGGTCATGAAGAAGAAAAACATATGTATTTGAGAAATTGTAGATGATAAATGCAAACAAAACAAATTTTCCATCGTTTTAATAATACCAGGGGGAAAATGTAATGAATCTTAAAGTCAGTTGAAATTTGGACATGTGTGACTACAGGATATTTTTAGGGGAAAGCTATAAAGGTAAGTTTGGTTTTATTTTTTAAACATGAATACTAAGTTTCATCTGTGGGTTCACTGTGTAAATGTAACTAGGATTCAAATGCCACAATTGTCCTAATTAAATAACACATGCACATGTGCAGTACACATACACACACATATAGACACATACACATACATATACTTACAACACACACATATACGCAAACACTCTCACACTCATTTACACATATACATGCACACAGACCACACACACATAGCACACAAGCACAGAGAAAGAGACACACACTGCCACATACACACACACTCACATACAATACATACATACACTCACACACATACACATACATTTGTATTCAATTGTGGCACATCTGCACACATTCACTTACACACATATTCACTACACACACACATACATACTCATACAATCTGTCTCACATATATATGTACTCACACACACATACAGAGCTAAAAACTTTAAAAACAAAGCAGAGGAAGAAAACACATTTTGCTTTTTAAATAATTTAAGTGGTCTTAGTTTTAGGTGTTTTAACATAATTAACATAAAGTAATGATTTTCTTTTGTTGTTGTTTTTGATGAGCCATAAAAGTTCATACTAAAGACAAAGGTTTACCCTAAGAGATCTGCCATGAAAAATAGCCCAGCAGGAGAAAAATAGCAAATACTCAATCTCCAAACAGTTTTTCCAGTTATAAGCAGGATATTCTGTAGCTATAGAAGTTGAAGACAGTAGCACCAAAAATGTCAGCCTCTCTCTGAGAGTAAAGTAATAGAAGGTAGACCTCAAGAAAGACTGTGGGTTAGAGCGTCAGTCAGCTAAGTGCCTGCTGCCCAAGCATGAAGACTCAAGTTCGGACCCCCAGCACCCACATAAAAGCTGGGCGTGGCAGCTCCCAGTGCTTGAGGAGGTCAAAGGTAGATCCCTGGGGCTCACTGCCCACCAGTGTAGCCAAATCCACGAGCTGTGGATTCAGTGAGAGACTCTTTCCAAAAACAAGGTCAACTGCATCAAAGAAGCCTGCAGTGGTCAGAGGTTAAGAGACTCACAGCTCTGCAGTGAGGAACTGCTAAAGCAGGTTGTCTACACACACCCCTTCCTCATATCGAGGATCGGAGGGCAGGCAGTACGGCAAGATCAGAGGTCCGGGAAGACTGCTGAGGTACGTGAGGTATGTCCTCTGGGCAGGACAAAGCCCTTGAACTCATTAACTCCTGCCATAGCCTCTGTGGCTGCTGCCACAAGATCAAGCCAATCAACCATCCAACATGGAGAATGAAGAGCTATGCTAGGCCCCACTTTTAGCTGAATGACTACTGACGGTTGATAACCACTAGGGGCCAGAAAGTCAGTTTTCTTTAGTCATGTGTGGATTCCATAGGTAGATGCTCCTGGTCCATACGGGTAACTGGATTAACTGGACAAAGAGTGGAAGAAGGAAAAGAAAGTGGGGGAGAAGATGAGATGATGACGTTAGGGGACAGGATTGTTGAAGAGAGGCCCGGGAGACGCTGGAGTTGGGAAGTTGGCATGGGTGGATATGACTAACTACACGAATTCATCTCTACAATTACCAAAGAATAAATTTTTAAAGAATTTAAAGGAAGAGAGTAATTGAAGAAGACACTTGACATTGACCTTTTGTTGTCACATGCACACACACACACACACACCGCATGCACACACGTGCGTGATGTACATATTCCAGAGAGAGGGAAAATGTGAAGAGAATACAGTTAAGTTTAGATATAAAGTATCTCCCAAAGTGTTCGTCTATAGAAGGCTTGGTCTAACCCTGTAGACTCAGCCATTGCGATGTGGTTGGTCCCGAGAGCTCTGCCTTCAGTAATGGATTAAGCCACTGGTGGGAGAGGAATCTGACGGCATTGCTGTGGAAAGGTGGGCTGGAGGACGGATCATCTGAGAGCAAGAATCTGAAGCTCTTGTTCCCTGGTGGCATTCTTATATATTCAATGTGTGTCTGTCTGTCTCTGTCTCTGCTCCGCCCTCAGCCCCTTCCTGGATATACTATAAACGTCTCTGTTTGCCACCCGCTCTTTCCACCATACTGTTTGCCTCATCGTGGGAAACGGCTGACCACAGACTGAAACCATGAGCCAAAAAATGACCTTTCTCTTGAAAACAGTTGCTCTCAAGTTTTCTGTCACAGTAATGCAAGGTCTGAGTACCCAGAACCATGTGAGACCAGAGACAGGCTTTTATTAAGTCATAGCAACCACACTTAGATGTCACATGAAACTGCACTTTCATTACTTAGGGAAGGTTAATTACTATATTCCTATAGCTCTGGACAGCTAGTGCTTGGAACCAAGGAACGTGTTCTTGTGTTATGGAAGAACATGACAAAGATCCTTGGATGAACCACTGTCATCTGAAACTCTTTTCAGGTGACTATTAGTTTTGGATAAACAATTTTCTGAGGCAAGAAAAATATTGGCAAATGTGTACAAAGTCTCTTAAAGAATCACAAAATAGTCACCAGCATCCTGCTTGCCAGCTGGCCCAGTAATGACCAGGACTCCCAGCCTTCCTTGGTAATCACTATGAATAAGATGTCTACAGGAATGCTAAGAGTTTACAGAAGAAACAAGACATCTTTTTAAATATCCTACCACAAGCACACGGAAAACAGCCCAGTTCTTTTTTCCATTCATTTAACCTTAACCATACAGGAATTTTAACTACTCAGACTGACCAGTAACAAACACCGACTGAGGAGCCAGAGACAGGCTCAGCAGTTAAGAGCACTGACTGCTCTTCCAGAGGACCCGGTTCAACTCCCAGCACACATGTGGTAGCTCACAACTGTCTGTAACTGCAGTTCTAGGGGATCTGACACATATACCTCACACAGACATGCAGGCCAACACCAATAAATAAATAAATAAATAAATAAATAAATAAGTTTTAAAAAACCAACAAATTCGAACTGGCTTAAACAAACTCTCACAAGCATCTACACATGTACCCTGCTTTCTGGAGGCTTTTTTCTTTTCCTTCTGGTAAGTTCCTATTTGCTTCCTCTCATTATACACTTCAACCTTCCCCTAAACCTCTTAGATCCTGAAATCCCTAAGCTACTCTTCACCAAAGAACTAGCTCAAGCAGACTTGGACTACTCAGATCCAAAATAAAGGACAGGGCTCTGACTAGTCTGAGGCAAAGGGAACCTCTGAGCCCTTGGGACATTCTTATAAATAAAAGCACCTTGGCTTCTGCCATCTTGGGCACATCAGAACGTCAGTGCTAACAACATGCTTAATGGGTGTTACCAGTTACTTTCCTATTGCTGTGATAGACTCCATATCCACAGCAACTTAAAGAAAGAAGAGCTTACTTGGGCTTATGGTTCCAAAGGGCATAAGAGTACATCACCATGACAACAGGGAGGTATGATAGCAGCCAGGCATGGTGACTGGAGCAGCAAGCTGAGAGCTCACATCTTGAACTGAAAGCATGCAGCAGAGAGAGCAAACTAGGGGTAGGCTGAGGTCTTACTATCCCACTGCCCACTGCCAGTGACATATCCCCTTCAGGAAGCCCACACTTCCTAAGCCTCCAGTAACAGCTTCACCAACCAGGACCCAACTGTTCAAATACACTGTGGGTGTGTATTCTCACTCAGATCATTACCATGGTGAATATCTATTGCTGTTCGCCCAGGGTCTCAGCCACACGGTACCAGTGTGACTCTGGCAGGGGACAGAGGGATGGGGAAAGCTATAGTCTTAGTAACCAAGATCCGTCACATAAGTACTTCAGGCTGATCCCCTGTACACCAAGCTTTGTAGTTTTGACACTGGCAATGCTCTGCAAATCTTTCTCATGAAACTTTGATAGGAGGAACAAGCGCATCCCTACATGATTTCACTGGAAGACAGCAACTAGAAACTTGGACCTCAGTGTTCCTGGACACTGCCTGTGATGCCCTTTTCTTTCATAGATTTTAAATGGTTCCTTTCCCTATATATAACCACAATCATGAGTGTGAAGTAGTTATTTGTTTGCTGTAAATGTTTCCAATAATTCATTGAACCCAAGGATAGTTTGTGGAGCCACCCATAACTCCCAGTGCTATTTTTTCTTGTCCTGCACATATGGAAACCACACAAACCCACACACTGCTAATACTGTTTCTGCCACTGCCATCCACCGTGGGCTGACTGTGTGCCAGGCACTTCACTTAAATCAGCTTCAATCCTCACAATAGCTAACTCCTACTCAGCACTAACATGTGCTCTGAAGCATCCCAAGTACTTCACTCCAGCAACCCACTCCATTTCTACAGCATCCTATGAGAGACAGGCACAAGACTGGACCACAGTTCACAGGTAGAAAGCTGAAGCAAAGCAGTCAGAGATGAGAAGCTGTCAGCCAATCCCAAGGCAGACACCCATGAACTCCATCTGTATTTCCTTCGGACTGTAGAGATTCTCCTTGGCAACCTCTGGTCTCATATCCCCCCATCTCTTCTCACTGTCTTTGGGAACAGGGAGGGATGGCGGAGGAGAGGGAAATTGTTCACCTTAAACCCTGAGTTTTCATTGTAAGTGTTTACATGTATGTAAACTGGAGTAATTGTTCTCCAAGAATCATGAAAAACAACTGAGTTAGAACTAGCCTCAGACAAACGCCTTTAATCCCAGCACTTGGGATTTCTGAGTTCGAGGCCAGCCTGGTCTACAGAGTGAGTTCCAGGACAGCCAGGGCTACACAGAGAAACTCTGTCTCGAAAAACCAAAAACAAACAAAACAACAAAACAAGACAAAGAAACAAACAAACAAAAAACTAGCCTCCGTATCTACCTGGACCAGAGTTTTACAGGAGTGTCTACAATTGTGCCACACTGGTCTTTCTCACGGGATGGCCCATCCTCATCTTCTTCTATCTTGAGAGAGTCAATGGGCCATAAGATAAGTTTACTTTATAGGCAAGGTTCATTATAAGATATCAAGAGATCTAAACAAGACAGATTTGACTTATGGAACTGGAGTGTTTTATGATTAGCTATTTACTAAGCCAACGATGAGAATTTAGATTATAATTCTCAAATTAACAGAGCAGGAGTAGCTTAAGTTAAAATGAATAGCAAAGCTGGCATTGCTGACGCTTAAAATTCTCATCCACTGCCAGTGGGCATGCTATCTGACA